CCATATGGTCTGACTCCCAGCATGAAGACGTGGCCCACGGAGCCGTGTGATCCGGAAACCTCTTTAAAATTTCACGGTGATGTGGCTGGGTTTGGCTCTCTCCGGCGGGCCGACTCGCACACTGTAAGAAGGTAGCTGTGGCGCTGAGAGAATTACATAACACACATTTCAGCAGTCATTGCCTACGGTAATGGGAATCCGCTCAGATCCATGGGCCTAAACGAGGAGGCGGATATGTGAGAGCTTGCGGCCACTGCCTGGACTGGCTCGAGCTTGGGTTGAAGATGGTTTTGCGGCATGCAAAACTCAGTTTCGATGCAACCAAGAATGGGGAAGTATATGGAAACATGGCTTCATCTTTTCGGTCTCTTTTTCTTTCCGGATTCTCGGCAGCCAGGGTTTCAGATTGGCAGAGACTGCAGCACGGAATATGCATGCTTGGCACTTTTGCACAATGCCTCCTGTCAATCCTCATAAGCATGCAACTACAGGAGCCGGTCTGTATGCAAAACTCAGTTTCGATGCAACCAAGAATGGGGAAGTATATGGAAACATGGTTTCATCTTTTCGGTCTCTTTTTCTTTCCGGATTCTCGGCAGCCAGGGTTTCAGATTGGCAGAGACTGCAGCACGGAATATGCATGCTTGGCACTTTTGCACAATGCCTCCTGTCAATCCTCATAAGCATGCAACTACAGGAGCCGGTCTGCAGTTTGGGACATGAGGCTGTGACATTGGATAAGATTTCAGAGGGGGAACGAGAAATGTGGCATGTTTTTGGTCGTTTTGCATCGAGGTTTGCCTACAGTGAAAAAAATTATGTGCAGAAACATTTTTCACTCAGAGATTGCTAGTAAATTTTACAAAGAAACAGCAAGTAACACACCGAATTAAACAACAAAATTTTGACGTAAAATAACTGAAATAGTATTTTCTTGTAAAAGCCACTCCAATTATTTACAACTTTGAAAAAACATAAGACTTCATGTATGAGTCACTGAATCATTTACTCAACCGATTCATTCAAAAACACATACTGATTCAATAATGCCACTATAAGTGTGTTGCAATGGTTCTGCAGTGGCTTGTTTCTAACTATTTTTGTTGGCAGAGCACAAAAAAGTCCAAGTTACTTTTTTTTTTTGGTCGTTTTTCTTTTGGCTTTGCATCAAAGTTTGGCTAAACTGAGAAAACACAATGGAAGCAATTTTCACTGAGGAATTGTTAGTAAATTAACAATTAGCAATTAACACAATTATTAACACAGAAAAACTGAAATAGAATATTGAATATAGCCTATATTGAATACAACTAAATATCTTCTTGTAAAACACACTACAATACTCGTTATTTACAACTTCGAAAAATCATTTTGGGAGGTTTGGGTTAAACAGGGTTGGTTTATTCTTAGACTTTTCTCCCAACTTTTCCTTTGGGGCATTTAGTCAAGAAAGCAACGTAATGACTTTAGAGAAGCGTTCCTGTAAGTAGTTGACACTGTGAAACACACAATGTGCTGCCGTAGCACAGTGCATTAGGCTCTTTGGAGAGTCATTACAGTATCAGTTACAGAGTATGCCCTGGCCTGAGGCTGCAAGAGAAAAAACGTCTGTGGTGGATCAGAGCGCCCAAAGATCCAAAACTACAAAAAAAAAATTCTTAACCACATCCTGATTACAATCTGACGTGGAAATACAAGAACCTCTTAAAATGAAGGGGTCAAACATCCTCTCTGTGATTATAGTATTAACACATAGATTAAATGTAGTAAGACCTTTCAAAGAACTATAAGTGTAAATTTCCTTTTGCGCTTGTCAGTCAGACTTCTAATGCTTATTAGTAGTTCATTGCTTGCCATATGACAAATCGTGTAAGAACAGCTGGGAAGCACCATTAACTAGCACCATTAAATGACTGAAACCTCATGCTGTGGGAAAAGTACTATTTTTGATATCTACATCCATTAACATTTTTCCTTAATCTCATAAAGCAATGCTACTTATTAGAGCTGGGTAATGTGCAATGGTGTGCTAATAGTGGGCAGGACTATTTAACATTATGTGATTAAGAAAATACAGAATGGGACATAACAGAGCAATTAAAACTCACTGCTTTGAGTGTACTGTTTGAGAAAGAGTTTCTGCACTGATGTCAGAATTATCATGAATGATCTTATCTTTTGATTAGCATCAATCATTTTTTTTTTTTAAATAAAGTAGGCTATTTAATTTACTGGATTTGGCAAAAAAATAGAAGTTTCCACAAAATTAATTAAAACAATTGAAATAAATACAAATATTTGCTTTAATAGTCAGTTTTTGTTTTAGTATTGAACATTTTCAGTGATTATTTCTGCTGGTTACACTGATTCACCAGTAGATGGTGACAAGCGACTGTATGAGTGAGTCATTCAACTGATTCTTTTAAAAACAGATCCGGTCAGGAGCGAAGCAAGTGATTGTCTTTATGAGTGAGTCAATGAATCATTCACTCAACTGATTTGTTCAAAAACACTGAATAATTCAGTAACGTCACTACTGTGTGTTACAACCGTTCTGCAGTGGCTTTGTTTCAAACTATTTTTGTCTGACAAAAAATAAAACACTGTCAATATTATGTCTAAAATGTAACTCATTATTAAATTCTTATTCACTGAACTGCTGTATAAAAGCAATATCACACTAGTAATCATCCTGTTTTTTTTTTTTAATGTTATTTAGTATTTAATTGTTTTACAAGATTCTGGTCATATCATCCACCTCTAATTCTTATTATTATGGTTAAACAGTGGGAAACATCTCATAAAGGCATTCTTTTTCTTGTCCCGCATGCACCACAACATGTTATTGCAGCTGCAAGCAAGATTTCAATACCAAGTCTAAAAATATCAGACAGTTGAAATGAAAGCTATGAGAACAAAAGACATTTCAAGTTCCCCTAAGTCCCAAAATAGATGTTATGAGACAAACGTACTTCAGAATAGTCTGATGTGCCACTGTATCCCATGTGTTCCAGAATGGTCATTCGGTTTCGATGGGAACAGACGCCATTCTATTCTCTGTTCCAATATTGCAGTTACCCTTCTCCACAGGAGTAGGTGAGTCACACTGACAGTCTCTTCAAGGTGAGATTTTTTTTTGGAATATCCTCTGTCATGGCTATAGGGCATGTGATGGTTGATGGAGTGGCTTCGGGCAAGAAACTTTTGTTCTATATTGAATCTTGCGACTACACAATCCCTCCTCAGCACTTTTCAATAGATTCTCGCTTGACATAGCTGGATACTTGAGCTGCACATATAAAAAAAACTGAATTGGATTTTTCTAGTAATATCATATTTATGACCTGAACTGGCCTCCGAGGTCTTCAAGTGCAACGTGTCAATATGATGACTGACATTTTGCTTAGCTAAAGTCAGGATGTTTTTACACACGGTCTCACACATCATCGCCATCCGCATTCAGTCAGTTCTAAACACAACCAAAAGCTTAACCTGAGGTGAAAAGCTGCAACGTCTAGAGAATAAGAAGTCTTGTAGGCCTATCAAAGCTTGGAAGAATACTGGCCTATTTCTTTCCACTTACTAGAGATTACACGGTTTGTGAGCAATATTCGCTGCTCTGGAGGAAGAAGTCTGGCCTTTAGGATCACTTAGCACTATAGAGCACCAAGGGCACAGGAGCTCTATTGAGGTCAAATGTCAGTCTTTGAGCATTTCTTATTCATATAAACCATTGAAAGTCAATAGCAAAGCCAAACACTGGCTTTCAAGCTCCGACAAACACACTTACCACTACACATTGCAGTCATATCGATGAACTTTCTTCTAGATGAGAAATTTAAATAATTTTTAAGTGCACATTTTAGTTTCTGTAAATGGTTACCATTCAACAGTTTTAATACCCTTTAGCTTCTTTGCATTTCGCTTAATGGTCCTGATAAGTGGATTTTTACATTGTACATTGTAATTATATTTATGCATGTGCATATGAATTAGAACATTACATTTTAGACACTCTTGCATATATCAATTTTCAAAATGACCAATACTGCAAGACCATCTATCAAAACTCAAGGTTAGAGGCATAATGACCAAATAATCCAACCAAAAAACCATGGTGCCAAAGCAGCCACCATTGCATGCACATGCTTTCACTTCTCATATTGAGAAAAATGCATGGCAGTGCAATCACAACCCATAGGTTAAGAAAAATGGCGGAGCAATCTAAAAATCAATGCACGCTGAGAAGGCAATGCACCGGCATCAATGGATGGACCACGCGTTGCCCCTTCAGCACTGCGGAGAGCACAACTCTGCGCAAAGCATGCCTCCATCCATGCGCCCGCGACGCACCACAGTCGTTACTCACATGTGCACGGTGCAAACCAATTCTGTTCTCTAAATGGATTTCATAAATCTCAAATCGTTATGAATGCACGCCGGTGCATAAACCAGCGTCCATGTGGATGTCAGTGTGCTTTGTCCACGCATGGCTCCATCCTAGTGGATGGGAAAAAGTGGCATTTACATTAAAATGAGTTGATTATACATAAGACTCTTCACAGTTGCATAGATGTGCGCACTGTATACTTCTGTCATGCACGTTTAACTGCCAGACACATCATGAGTCAATCACGCGCGTGCATTTATATATAATGCAGTAGAGTCGAGAGTCTGTGCAATGCCGATGGGACTGAAAAAACACTGATAGGACAGATGTAGATCTATTATTCAAAGAGCCTCTGTTTGTATTATTCAGATCTTAAATTCCCAGCATGTTTAGCTACATTGCACTTGGTCGCAAGAAATATGCGGTATGGCATTAAAACATCAACACACTTCTACCACATGGTATTTTTAAATGCATATGCAATAGTATGCAGAGTTGCAATAAATATTGTTTGTCGCGTCTTTATAAGTTGCGCGCACACGCAGGAGCACACTGACAAGCGGAAAAAAAAGTTGGATAAATGGCAAAAACAGAGATAAAAGCAATTCACCTGCTGCCAGTTTTCCTCCAGAGACGGCATCGCAGAGAAGTAGCCAGTGTCATGAACAAGTTGAAGTTCTTGAAAAATACTGTAATTGGCCAGAACATCCATGTTTGTGCAGCTAAACGGTGCGTTTGAGAGACTTTGATTCTCTGCGCGAGGAATCCGCGTTCGCTTCAGCGCGAGCGACTGAAACATTCAGATCAATCGCGAAACCCGAAACGTTTCAGTTCACTATGGATACTAAAATGTGTTTAAAAGTAAAGGATCCATCCACGCAGGTTTGTTTTCTTTCCTCACAATGTTTCTGGAAGGGGAGCAGCAGGAGCACAGTAGCTCACGGGTTACTGTGTCAGTCAGTGTGTGTGGAGCCAGCGTAGCGTCTGCGGATGCCCGCGAATCGAGGGGGCGTGTTTTTCTGTCAATCAACTTCGTGCGTAACCATATAAGGAAAAAAGGGACGACAACTTTGGTGGCGATTCAGAAAGGCGGGGCTAAACTCGCATAGTGGGAGGAGTTCGAAGCTGTAGTGGATCTCCGATTGGTTCTCTGAATTGTCACTCACAACATACATGCCTTTGAAAGCGCAGCTATTTTTAGACCCCTATATAACATGCGAATCAGCGTTCGAGCCTCATTCGAAGCTAGAGCGTCCAGAGAGTTACAACGTGGTGGTTTGGGTCTGCTCAACAGACTACAGTGGTAAAAATACACATTTAAACACACACGACACTTTAAATGTAAAAACAAAGCAAATGCTGACATAAAACCGTGCTCGCGATAGCACGGTTAAAACGGCTGTCACTTTTACTGTCATAGTGAAAAAAGGTTTGCTTATGAAATTCATATTTCATTTGATGTATTTGCTCAAATGGCATTTTAGCTGAAGTGAAGCGCACAAACGGACACAAGTACGCATATCTGTTTGATAAAAGTTAAAAACGTCCTCAACATGAACTCAAATTTTCATGAATTCAAAATTTCTTAAGGTAAAAACCTTTACATGATAGGCTACTTGTTTCTTCAAGATACTTCAAAGACTAACAATGTTATGATAATTTTTTGTGTCTGTCTATCTGTCTTTATCTAGCTGTATATCTAGCTGTCTGTTTACTTGTCTATCATGCACTGTGTAACCCTGACTTTTGATTTGCTATGTGCCGCTTAACTCGCATGTTATTTACATGGAAATCAGATGGCATATAAGCTTGAGTACCTCTTTGAACTATAAGTACTCCTCAGCCATCTCACAACATCCCTGACCTTGTGTCATGCATGTAATTAGATAAGTGGAACCTATAAACTGTGAGAGGCTCTGAAAGGAAAATCTTGACCAAATCTGTTCGCTGTTTCGTTTCAGCTGGAACGAAAAAAGGGGGGTGGGGGGAATCATGGAATAGGCTTTAGTTGTTATGGCTCATTTGATTTGAATTATTCATATTCTTCACCAGATGATACTTTGGCTCTTGGTGAGCATGTGTTATTTCTTTCATCTGGTACCTGCTCTGTAGATGGAAGGAACGAGGTATGAATGGATTCATGAATTCACCGGTGAGTCTAAGAGTGACCTTAAAAAACACTCTGGAGATGGAGGAGGTAAAGAACGAATGTGTTTCTCTCCTCTATAGCAGTTTTCATCCAAGATGGTCTGAGACGCTGGGATTTTCCTCTGTGCTATTAAAACAGAAGGCTGGGGGACAGAGGGATTGTTCCATCAAAAGTGAGGTCTTGAGGTTTTAGTAGTTATGAGCGTCCTCTCACGCGTCAATTTGACTGACCTATATGGATGCGAGTTGGCATATGGTTCTTTGGAGATTATAAAAGTTGTTTCTTGATAGGTTCTTCAGATCAGCATCTTGGTGCTTCACAGAGTATTGATTTAAAAAAGAATTAAAAGATACAAAAAATCTTAAGAAGGTCAGGCTGCAACAAACTTAATAACAAATAAAGTTTTTAATGAAAAAATGAAAAATAGCATAATGCAGAAATATTGTAAATTAATTGTTTGTATTCATGTTGATTCCTATGTTTTTTTTTTTTTAATAACATTTTTATACAAAATTTGCATAAAGAATATATGCCTATAACCATTTCAAGTATTACCATCAAGTTATTTTTTTAAACAATTTATTTTTTAGCATTTTTGAAGCATGAATTTCGTTAAGTTTTCTTGGTTTTCTAAGAAAGTACCCTTTCTTATTTGACAAACTGAACTTAAATGTCAATAAAATGTAAATGTCATAAAAATGTACTTACTGACCTTGACACGCAGTCATCAAAGTCTACAAGGGTCTGCTATGTATGTGTTATCATTTTCTGTTTTCTTTTTTTAAACAAATCTTTTTTATTTAAAAATATATATTTTTATTTGTGTAACCTTTTTCTTTAGAATTTTCACCTTTTTTCTTTAATCTTTGAATCATACTTTTTTACTTTCTTCTGAAAGTTTCACCAGCTAAACATATGTCTATACACACACACACACAAATGAATTCATCGTCTGTATAAATTGCATTTTTAATGCATTTAGGAATTAATTAGATTGAGACAATGAGCTTGATGACATTTTGACCCTTTTCATTTCTACCTGGAGCTCTGATTTTTTTTTTAAGAGAGTGTGAGAAATTTGTCCCCCTGTTATCTGAGCAAACTCTCATCTCTGCTACATCAACTGTGCATGTTAACTGCATGTTATGCAAATATGTGGAAATGAGTGGTTTGGAGACAGTTCGATTTGAGCGAGAGACTGGAGAGATAATGTAACTTGAAGAGTGACCGACTGTGAAAGACAGTTGGAAAGTGAGGTAATTGTAATCTGCCTCAGTGTAAAGCCTGCTTTTTCCTTTAGCGTGTGTGAAATGTAGCTGATTTGCTCTCTTTGTGTAAGCTAGGTTTATGTGTGCCTCCCCAGCCCACCCCTGTGTGTCCACAGTGGCAGTGAGTGCTGTAATCTCATTATTCTGCTCTGGGAGGCTGGCTGTCGGCCCTGGAACTATGATTTACAAATGGCATTTCAACAGGGAGGGGAGGGCCTGCTGTCGATGAAGCGCCCACTGACATTTATCCATTTGACACGTTCCCCTCTCTCTCTCTTTCTATCTCTAACTTATACACACAAACAAACACCAAATGTGTTTGCCATTCCACTTAATCTATAACACAGCTATATAATATGTTTATTGGCAGTTATGGCAAGCATCACTAGGGATTTCAATAAACTATAAATCAAGTCAATAAAGTCAAACGATATTTCACCCAAAAATATGAAAGTTTTTCATTCTTTTTTTTTTTGTGTGTGTTCATGTCATTCCACGTTCTGTGCAACACAAACTATACTATATTAAAATACTAGAATAACAATTAAGAGTCAATTATATTTTTTGTTTAATTTTATTTATGTATTTCCCAAAATTCAACAAAAATACAATATTAGAGAATAAAAACAAGTCAAAAGAAATACATTTATTTAACAAAAAGTGTTCTATAATGTGGAATGTTTATATAGCTTTTTTAGTGGAGGAGATTTTGTTTATCTATTTATTTATTTATTTTTTGAAGTAATAGAAAACAGAAATATCACACAAAGAAATTTTAGACATCATGTAGCTCCTGATCGCCAGAAACGTCACAGTGAAAAAGAACCTTAATGACAGAATTATTACACATCTGGAAAAACTAAAGAAATTAAAATACTATAATTATTTTGTCCCACAGATGAAAGAGAACCATACATGTTTGAAACGACATGACTAAATATGACAGAATTATCATTTTTGGGTTAAAAATGCCTTTAAACTTAACATCAAATTAAAACAGACCCTAGCATGTGTCTAGTCTCGTATGTTATTCCAAAGGAAAAAACAAAAAACAAACTTGTGGCTTTTGACATCCATTACACCCTAGCATTAAGTCGGTGACTGTTACACAGGCAAGCAGCACTCATATTTTCTTCAGAAAAATGTAAAATTTTAGTTTTTAAATCGTAATCTGACTTGATGTATGTCTAAGTAATGAGAAGTGAACTCGCATTGCCCTCACACAAATTCTGCTTTTACCCTTCTGTGCACCGCACATCTCTGCAAGTCTTCTCTTTTCTTTTCCAAAAAGAGCTGTTGATTTTACATTAATATTAAAGCAGTTGCACCGACTTTAAAGGATATCTAAACCGAAAAGCCAATTACCGTCACCGTATTGCTTCAGAAAACCTGTCATCTGACTTATCTCTTCAATAAGTACAGTCATATTGCCCTGATTTTATGGCAAAGGCCATAATGTGTCCGTAACCACACCGAGGCACTGACGAATACATTAATCTCCACTCTCCTGCATTTCGTTTCACTGCTGACATAGCTATTTACTGACAGTTAGTGGTATTACGGCATTAATAATGGAAAAGATGCCATCCACCACACCACCATGAAAAGGCTAATGGCAGCAAACTGCGTATTTGGAGTTTTTCATCTTTAATGTAATGCCACAGCGCAAGACATGAGAATCAAAAATAATTTATGTGCATGGAATTAAATTTATTAGCTGCTAATGATGGATGTCTTTGAAAACATGACTAAAGATAAAATAAACTTTTAGTGTATGCTTCGCTGTAGGATATTTCTTAATTCTTGAGAATACATGGCAAAACCCCTGTTAATTACATTTTATACTGGACTTTTTGAGCCACAAATTCTAAGTCATTTTTAATCTACATACAATGAGTGTTCCCCCATATTTTATATAACAGATTCATATTGAACAATGTTGTTGAATGATGGTTTTGAGGACCTAGCATGACTAGTTTATGTGGTTACTGTAATATGATTATTGTTTTGCTTTTTGCTGACTTCATTTTTCGTCTTTATGTTGTTGCTGATTGTGTCGTCAGTTGCAGCATTTTGTTGGGTCATGAGCGTATCTTAAAGTCATTACTTGTTCATCACCCTTATTGAGGCTTGTGTGATAAGTGCTAAGGTTGATGTTTGTCTAATACGACTACACACACACACAAAAAATTGGTTCTTCAGCAGTTCTTTGGGATGGTTAAGGTGCTATATAGTACCGCTACTGTATAAAGAACCTGTTAAGCCCAGTATGGCCCTTCTATTTGTTCCATTTTTTCTGATTACATTTATTTTGTAATTAAATAACGCCGTTATTTAATTACTTAACGTTATAACACCGTAACTAGTTACTCGCCAACACTGAGGTGCTAGCACTTAAAGTGGTTCCCCTATGATTACAAGCCAATGAACCACCTTTAGTGCTATATAACATCTCAGTGTTGGGGAGTAACTAGGTACATGTAACAGCGTTATGTAATTTAGCACCATTTTTTGTTAGAGTGCATGGCATCTTTATG